ACTTCGCAGCCATGCGTGAGGCCATTTGCATCCACATCGGCCAGGCGCCAGCACGCAATCCCTGAACGAAATGCACTGTTGAACTCGAACTTTGTGGAGCTGACAGCTCTTCGAACTTCCAAAGTTGCAGGGTGGCGTGCAGATCGGAAATGCCTGCTGGGAGCTCTTTTGTCTTGAGCATGGCATCCAGCCGGATGGTCAGATGCCCAGCGACGCTCGCCAGCAGGCTTCAGAGGCGCAAGTAGTTGTAGGGCAACATGCGAGGATCTTTTTTGTGAATTTGGATATTCGAGCAAGAAGCTAAGGACAAGACCATCGGTGGTGGAGATGCCCCTTGCTTGTGGTAACAAGTTTTGTTTAGGGCAAGAAGCTCTGCTCTTGGGGTCCAGCTTCAAGGATCACCATGGTAGGCAAGCATCAGCAGAAGCAGGCTGAAATCAGCCACCCCGTGAGGACGCATTTAACACTTTCTTCTCCGAAACGGGCGCTGGAAAGCACGTCCCTCGCTGCGTCATGGTGGACTCGGGCTTACTTGATCTCCAGCGCTGAGCACATGTGAGATGTCAGTCGACTTTGCACAGCAAGGGCTGTTGGCTTGTTATGGTATTGTTGGAGAATGCTGGAGGGACACCCAGGGTGGAAGCTACATTAGAACATTCAGAAGGCTCTACAAAATGCGACCAAAAGGCCAGCAAGATATGTGGGTTGCGAAAGGCGCAGGAAGCGTGCTCTTCCTAATGAAAACCCGACACATACGAATGCCAGGGTTTGAGTCCAGAGGCCGACTTGCTGCAGGGGAATGGTAAGACGAGCCAGGTGATGGTGATGATGATGTTGGTCATGATCAGAGTGAGGCAGTCATGATGACTCAGACTGATGAGTATGAAGAGGAGAGATACTAGTAGCGACTAAGAAGAGCAGTAGGAATGACATGCCATCTGCCATCATCTGCCTCGTGGTGCAGATGAGTATGGCCGTGATGTTGCTGGTGCTAGTAGCCCCACGGCATCCGTCAAGAACCAAGCACGACCACGCGACTGTGAAGACGTCCTTCGAGTGTTGTGATGTCAGGGGACCAGCCATGGCGAGTGCAAAGTCCGTCCCAAACTGTACCAGTTGCTGCGGCAATATGTTACAAACTAAGGATCTCGAACCAACTGTTGTGGATGAAGTTCGCACCGGTACTTACCGGCAGCTTTTCCATCCGGAGCAGCTGATTTCTGGCAAGGAAGATGCTGTCGCTTGGCGAATCTGATCCTGCTGCAACATGTTTGACAGCTAGTTGCATGTCTGGAGTTGTGGACTAGCGGTTTCCCAGGCAAACAACTTTGCTCGTGGACACTACACGATCGGCAAAGAGATCGTGGACTTGGTCCTTGACAGGACTTGTGCGTCTGTGTCACCTAACGTGTATATTTTGCCCCGAAGGTGCTGCTCCCGCTATACTAGCTGCTGTACACAGAGTGCATACATAGATGCTTGAAACCCGTTCACTAAGTCGACTGGTTGCTTCCTGTGTGTTTGCCTGGCACGTCCTTCCAAAGCTTTCATCTACATCGTTGCGTGTACCATAGAGCGTCAGCGTCAGGATCCG